GAACGGAGTCTTATAACCTAACTAAAAATAGATGATAGATAGATAGACAGGTGATAGACAGGAAGGCAGATACCCACATGGCTGAAAGAAAGCTCTTCCTTCAGTCGGTTATTAAACAAAATCCCCAGTGCCAGGGATGGGATATTTCCTTATGAATTTTTCACTGGGGAGGCCCTAGAGGCCCACACAACAACATAGGCTCTTGTCTGTTCTCTTGGTTGCTCACCAGAACTAGATGATAAGACCCTACTGTTGAAGACACCATGGCTAGCTTGGATAGTGCCAGAAGGTGCTATGCAGGCTACTGAGGGAGAAAAAGCACCAAAGGTCTTACCTAGTTGCAAACCCTACAAACTATGATACCAACCTGCCAGGCAAGATGTGCCCACTTGTGTGATAGTGGCATGATTATTATAGATATCACCAACCGCTTTCTGAATTTGAGGAAGGAGTAAAAAGACTATAAAAGCTGGAGAAATGCTGTCAGAGGGAAAGGCTATGAAATGCCAGCAATCACACACTCTCAATAATTATGGCTGACTATGCTGGATCTGCAGACAGGTCCATCAACACCCAAACAAAGGTAGAGGAGGGACTGCTGAACTATTTCCTGTAGACAGTTTCACGGCAATAGAAGTTGTATATACACTGATGACTCCACTGTGCTCCAATGAATAGTTACAATCCAGTGGTCACACAGATGGCCCTGATTAAACTCAATGGATCACATAACAAAAACAAAAGTCATGAATCTGGGAGAAGGGCAGGTAAAGAAAAAGGGGTTTGATAGGGATGAGAGGGAGATAAGAGACAGTAGGGAGAAAGTGACTGAATGCATTATGTACATGTATCAAACTGTCAAAGAACATTAAAAGATGAAAATAATATTCCTAATTCCTATTTGTGAAGATTTGTTTTGTTCTTTAATTTTTAAATTTATTTTTACTTAATGTGTATGGGTGTATTGCTTGCATGTAGGTAGGTACACCCATGTCATGCAATGCTCACGGAGGTCAGAAGAGGGTGTCAGATCCCCTGAAACTGGAGTTACAAATGGTTGCTAGCCACCATGTGGGTACTGGGAATCAAACCTGGGTCCTCCGCAAGAGCAGTCACTTATCTTAACCACTGAGCCATCTCTCCAGCCCCTGTGAAGATGATTTGTAACAATGCTTTGAATACAGTAAAAATATATTTCTAATGGTTATAATTTGTTGCAGACCAAAGCCAAATTATCTTGGGTATTTCACTGCTGAACCCGGTCTGATCTAACATTTTTCCATCTTTTTTTTTGACAGGGATTCACTATGTTGTTCCTACTGGCCTGGAACTCACTATGCAGGTCATCCCAGGGCTGGCCTCCATTTTACAGCTATCTACCTGTCTCTGTCTCCCAGTACCGGGATTAAAGAAATGTACTACCATGCCCATCATAACTACCAAAACCTTTAAAATGCATTCTTAGCAAGTCACTAGCTTCCACTAATCCAAAAGCTAAGAATATCACCTGAGAGCAAGCATTTGCAACCTATGACAGATTCCCCACTTTGCTGTAACCTGCCCACTTAATGTACCCATCAATGTATTTGAAACATATTTTGATTTAGAAATTTTTCTATTTTTATAAAAACTTTATTAAACTGTTAAGCACATTGGAACATGTATTTAGGGTATTCTGAATTAAAGTTTCTGAGCAACTGGGTTCCAGAATAAACTCTCTTACTCTCTTTGAAAAGATGAGACAGTGAAACCTTTTCCACCATCATTTTGGTTACCCTTATCTCTTTTAATGTTCCCTCCCTCCCTCCCTCTTTTTTAGAACTGGTAAATGAACCCAGGGCTTTATATGTGCTCAGCAAGCACTCCATTATTGAGCCATATCTTCAACCTTAATCTGTTTTGTCTTACAGCATTTTTTTTTTATCACTTGCATAGCATATGCATTTACCAGTTACTTACTTTACTCTCCAACAAACTATAAGCTGTATTCGGACAGGAACACTGCCAGTTATGCTCACTGCTAGTTTTCTGAGTGGACTAGAATACTCTTTAACCCCTATGTGTTACAGATACACAGTTCTATGTGTATATTAAATAACTCATTAAGTATTTCTTGATTATCCAATTACTTACTTTTCTCTTCCTGATGCAACAAAATTGTGAGGAACACTGAATTTTTCCATTATTAAAAATTATTTGGGAGGTGTTTATAATTTTATCCATTTTTTTGCTTTTAAAAAAATTGAGGCTACTTTGTGAACTGAATAGAAGTACAATTTTTTTAATCTTTTTGGGTTTTTAGTAGTAGCTAATTACTTTATTCCCAAAGACACTTTTGTCTAAAGTTAGTTTCACAAATGATATGACATTAAGCTGATTGATGGCAATCATTCCCTTTCCAAATTGTATTTCATTACTTTATATATTTGGTTTCAACGTTGTTTCTGTATAGCTCAGTTAGATTTATCCACTAATGTATTTTTTACCATTGTTCTTGTAACCTATTCTTTGTTTCAATGTGCTTTTTCACAAGTACATTCCTTAACAAGTCTTAGTGTTTTTTATTACTATTATTATTTTTACTAAAAAAGTTTTACTTTGTTCTTGGCTCTTAAAGGTAATATAGCTGGTACAGAATTATGGAAGACAATCCTAGCAGCTCTGTGAAGAAGTCTACAAAGGTCTCTACATGTTTTGATTCCTTAAGGTTCACAGATTTCTGAGTTTTTTCTGATGACTATGACTAAAAATTATTTATGAAGCCAAAGTTATAAACAGAAGAGACTGATCCCCCTTCCTTATCTTAATTCTAAATTATAATAGAACAGAAATAAACAATAAAGAAAGGGAAGGAATGAATATACCATCTTAAAATAAGGTCATAAATAAAGGGTGAACATAAACTTAATGTGAACCAAGGAATATGAAGTACCATTTTTTTTTTTTAGATTTAATAAATGTTTATAGCATATTTCATCCAACAGCTGTGGAATATACATTCTTTTCAGCAGTCCAGGTAACTTTTTCTAAAATAAATCATATTTTTTTTATTCTTATTCTTTTATGAAGTTAGTTAAAAATTAATGAACAAGAAATTAAAGAGACTGCGCTGCAATTAAGTTAGAATATTCTAACTGGAAAACAATTACTGTGAAACTATTTACATTCTCATAGAATTATAAACATTTCTCAAGGAATACTTTACAGCACAACTTTTTTTTTTTTTTCATACAGAAGAATTAATTCCAAGGCAATTGACACTGAGACGTTTTCACATGCATTTCTAATCTCTATAT